ACACACACACACACACACACACACACACACACACACACACACACACACACACACACACACACACACACACACACTTCTGAGAGCGCCTGTAAGAACAGTTCTGTTCTCACTCCCCTCAGGTCTCAGGAGAACTTAATGACACGACCCTGTTTAAGAAGAGGATGAGTCTGCTGAATCAGAACACTGAAACACCCATTCATTGCCTTTTTGAGGTGAGCCTGTCCTCAAATACATCAGCCTCTATAACACAACTAAAGACTGGAGCTTCTACTTTAAACAACCCCGTTCTCTTTTGGGTAAAAACAAATTGTCCAAGGACCCAAAAAATGTTGTTTTTTTGTCACAGTACTGTATAAGTGCTTGTGTGGGCGACAAGTTGGTCCAAAACCTCCCAGGATATCTGCTGGTTTCAGACGTCTCTGTTCAGCTCACGCTGTAGACACTTGTCTCCTTCACCTATCTCCAGGAAGAGTTTGCCTCAGCTCAGCCTTTGTTTTTTACCATTTATTGTACTTTCAACAGCAGGATTTTTTTGAAATGAATGACATTCTTGCTGAGCATTAGTAGATGGCTCACAGCTCAAATGAGGGCATTTAATTTGGTCTGAAGACTCCAGTTCCAATGCAGATCTCTACCCTGTGGTCGATATCCATTCTCTTGAGACAGTTGGAGCATAAAGGACAGCTGTACGTTTGTCTTTTCCATTGTTCCATGTTCTGTGTCTGGTTTAGCATATAGCAAATGGAAATGAGACGGAGGTGGAACATCTGTTGAGTGAAGGCCAGGCTGATAAGGATGTGAAGATGTGTCACCCTCTCTGCTCCTGCGACATCTGTGATGGCCAGCTGTCTGGGTTAGTGTCCGTGCTACACACACACACACACACACACACACATACAAGTTTGCACAGCTATCCAATTGGGGACATTCCATTGACTTCCATTATATTTCTACAGCCTAACCCTGACCACAAACCCTAAGGCTAACCTCACAGTTACCTTACCTGACCCTAAAACTAACCTAAACTCAATTCACACCTTGGTCCTAAACCCAATCCCCAACCCACCAATGGCATTTAAACCAAATGGGGGCTCGACTTTTGTCCCCAAATGCACCAGTTGTCCCCAAAATGTAGGATTTTTGTCTTAAAATTGCCCCCAAATGTCACCAAAGCCA